GGGGGGGGGGGGGGGGTGATGATCTTTGCTTCCTGAGCCAAACGCCCTACTTCGACACGGCTGTCTTGTTTGAAGTCTTTCGTTTTAGAAAATGTCATCAGCGACTTTTGCTCAAACTCCCGTTGTCCCTGGTGAGGATGACGGAGAGAGGTGTTGCGACGGTCTTATCTCTCGCGCACGCGCATCTCCACGAAAAAAACTGTGAACAGAAAAAGCGTCGAGTATACAGGACAAAAAGTCGAAGGTGTGGTGTAACTCAGGTTCGGCGAAAACGCCGAGTGGAGATATTTTGTTTCCTAATAGTAGAGGGCGGGGAGAGGGGTCTCGGCAGCTTGTATATCTAAGGAAGCACTGTTTCGGCTTTGGCGGTGGGTGGTCGTCGCCCTCGAATATAACACGTGCTGGTATGTGTCTTCCTGGCTCTTGATTCTTGTTGTTGGGTGGTTGGACTGAATCTGTTGGTCGTTCTCCCCTCGGAGACCAACGAAAGAAATAGTGTCGAGATTATTTCACGTGTGTTGCTTTGTTTTTTCCTGTTCCGCCGTGTGAGAGGATGGCCATCTAGTAGTGCGGAGGCGCGTGTATACAATGGCGAGAAACACTCTGCCTTTCTTGACCTTCCTTGTATTCTTGGCCGCTGCTAAGAGGAGGGATAGCCCCAATGGACATTAATTAGCGTCCATGGGGGGGTACCTACGGCTTTTCTTCCGATGTTGCACGTCGGAAGCAACACCAGCACGCGCGTATTCTATCTACATCGTAGCATAGAGGCATCTTGAGTCCCTCCCATGGGTTACAAGGGTAAGAAATCTTGAGTCCCTCCCCGTGGGTCACAAAGTCCGTCCTGCAAGCGCCCGATTCCTCCCTTGCTTGATGATGGCGGATGATGTGTGGCATCGACACGCTGCAGATGGACGGAAACGATGTGGGAAGAGAGTGGCCGTTGGACATGGGGCGTATGACGACTTTTTGCCCTGCCCCCCTCCCCCCACTGGATGTATGCGCTTCTTGACGCGTCTCGAAACGTGACGTACCAACACGGGGGCGGCGGGGAAAGAATGTAACGGTATCCGTCACCCTTCTTGAAAAGGGAGAACAAAAAACAAAAAAGCGAACGACAAAAACTCCAAGCCTTCCTCCTGTGCAACCCAGGCTGGTGGCCCTGGTGCGTCCAGGACAACAAATGAATGAATGAGGTGACAAAAAAATAGGGAAAGTTCTAGATACCTTCCGTGTGCCCCCCCCCCCACCAGCTGGTGGTGCGTCAAACGTTATACTCATGTACACCGAATGAATGGCGTGGAGGGAATGGCGCCCGCATGGGACGAAAACATGCACGAGACTCACACAGCAGTGACAAGCCTTTGACGGATGATTGGTTGGCCCGATCCCCGGCGGCATTGCTGCTTTTCTGAATGCCCGTGGGGTTCGTTCTGTTTCCAACAACCAAGCAAGCTTTTAGACAATCCTCGTACGCACGTACTACACGAATTTTGGAACAATACTCAGGACTTCCTTTTGCGGTAATCCCTCTCACGCCATGCAAACCTACACGCAGAAGGTAGGAGCGATGTGGCCGCGGCGGCAGCGCTGCCACCTAGACGTACCCACCTCCCCCTCTGCGGAATAACCTTATGTAGCCTGATGACACCACCCTGGCACCTTACAAGTTCCGTCAGGAGGGACAGCACTTTTTGGTACCCCGCCGTTTTTTCGGCATATTGCACCTTCCCCCCCCTCCTCGAAAAACCAAAGCGTCTCTCTCAACCATCGAGTTCGTTTCGTTTCGGGAAGGCGATCGAATGCTGCTTCTGCTGTATACAACTATCAGCCAGACCCCCTTCCTCGCGGCCGCGGCCGCGGCGGGGGCGGCGGG